TACAAAGAAAAGTATTGATAATAGATATCTATATCCACCAATATAAAAAATGAATAATTGGAAAACCTTGGAATTGAGAAGTTCGTCTAAGGAGATAAAGGTTGAATTTCTAAGGGATAATGATTAAATAATTTAGGGATTGAGTAACAACATATAATAGTAGTAATGTCAATTGGTAAATTCAAGAAAGGAGTAGAAAAGAAAGTCCAAATTTAGTCTCATCTTTAACATCAATTATTCTTAAATTTTAAAACTATTTTTAGTTTACAATTTTTTTCCACTATAACCAATTACAAATCCTTTTTATCAACTTATAATATTTTAAATCAAATTATAAGGAAATACTTTCAGTCCTTGTGGTTGATCCTTAAAATAACTTTATTATCTTATTACCTACAACGATTTGGTACAATTGACAAATTGTCCATTATCGCACCTCAATAAAATGGGCTAACGAAACGCTTAAATATGACCATTTTGAAGAGGATAATGCGCATAGTTTTGAGATATAAGTTACTAAAGAGTTTATGGCATGAAGTTGTTATTACAACACCTTATCAGAATGTTTATCCACATGAATAGACTTCAAGATAAACTATGAAAGTTTGGAATGGTAAACTAGTATACTACTTTAATTTGAAGATAATCAGACTTTTGACATTTTCACATATCAACCAAGACAAGGTTGATGTTAGTGTTGTGAAATATGTCTTCATTGGTTATCCTAAAAGTGTGAATAGTTACAAGCCATGGAAGATGGAGCTTAAAACTTATCATAAGAAGAGGTGATAATTTTTATGAGACCCATATAAGGATGAAGTGAAAGGACTTAGAAGTAAAATAGACATAAACTATGGTGGAGAAGATTCAGTTTTAGATGGATGTTCCTACTAGTGAGACTAAAGACGAAGAGGAAGTCGAGGCTCCCACTTCTAGTTCTAGTGAGGGAAAACCTACATTGCCTCTTGTTGTGAATCGGATACCGTTAAACAAAGTATAAACGGCTTCTTATCAAGAAACACACAAGGGTTAGAGTTAATAAAGAAGAAAGCAACAAGGAACAACAAGGATTTGTTATTAAACTGCTATTCTTTCCTTTCTCTTAGAACAAGATTACAAGTATAAAAGAATAACAAAATAACCTCTCTCCCTTGAAATTAGGATTTTATCTTCCTATTTTTTCTTTTGCCAAGATTGAGAAACTAGCATCCTATTTATAAGAAAAATAGCACACTAACCTAATGGGTTTTTTAACAATTATCCATTACAAGCCAACTTAGGGTACAAGCTAACTTAAACAATTGGGCTTACAAGCAAGACCCAATTCAACATGCTAACAACCCTAGCAATATTGACAAATGCATGTTAGAACAAACTTCGACTACAACACGCATTACTTGCGAACAGACTTCGATCATACTAGAGTTCGACCCAACATCTCACAGATCTCCACATTGGATCTAACTCTATAACATCAAGAAACTAGTTTTCTTCATGCAACTTTATTAACTGCATACAGTGGAAAAACTTGCAACTGGGCAACATCTTTTCTTTTTTCGTTAACGCAGCGTCCATGGCTGCCTCACCCTTTAACGCTTCCAAACAACCCTGCTGAACCAACAGGGCTTTCATCTTCAAGCGTCACAGACCGAAGTCGTTCACTCCGGTGAACTTTTCAATCTCATACTTTGTTGAAGGCATCTTCTCCACGCTCACCGCACCAATTTGTTGTGAATCGGATACCGTTAAACAAAGTATAAACGGTTTCTTATCAAGAAACACACAAGGGTTAGGGTTAATAAAGAAGAAAGCAACAAGGAACAACAAGGATTTGTTATTAAACTGCTATTCTTTCCTTTCTCTTAGAACAAGATTACAAGTATACAAGAATAACAAAATAACCTCTCTCCCTTGAAATTAGGATTTTATCTTCCTATTTTTCCTTTTTCCAAGATTAAAAAACTAGCATCCTATTTATAAGAAAAATAACACACTAACCTAATGGGCTTTTTAACAATTACCCATTACAAGCCAACTTAGGGTACAAGCTAACTTAAACAATTGGGCTTACAAGCAAGACCCAATTCAACATGCTAACAACCCTAGCAATATTGACTAATGCATGTTAGAACAAACTTCGACTACAACACGCATTACTTGCGAACAGACTTCGATCATACTAGAGTTCGACCCAACATCTCACAGCTCTTAATTATCAGCTAGTTCGTGATATAAGGAGATTGTACCACCTTAAAGATATATTTATGCTGATCTTATTTGTTATGCTTACAATGTAACTTAAGGGTTGCAAGTCTTAGAACCAATAATCTTTAGAGAGCCCTTCAAAAGCAACGAGAATAAAAAAGGTTGAATATGGTGAATGATGAGATACATTCATTAATGAAGAACCATACTTGAGAATTTAAGAGACTACCTAAAAATAAATGGTGGTTGTAAGTAAGTGGATTTCAAGAAGAAAAAAAGTATTCAAGGGATTGAAGAACCAATGTTTAAGGTAAGACTTGTAGAAAAGAGGTTTACTTAAGTGTAAGTCATTGACTATAGTTAAATCTTTTTAGCTGTGGTAAAGTAGTTTTATATAAGGATGCTTAGGCAACTGTGAATCAATATGATATTGAGTTGGAACAAATGAATATCAAAACAAATTTTTTACATGGAGACCTTGAAGAGACAATCTGCATGAAACAACTTGAAGGTTTTGTATTGGAAAAGTCTAAGGTGTTTTTATTGAAAAAATCATTGTATTGGTTTAAAGAAAGCTCAAGGTAATTCTATCGTCAATTTGATAAAATTGTTTTTATGAGAAGTGATTATGATAGTTTTGTATACATATTAAAGATGAATGGGACAATCACCTTCCACATTTTTTTATATGTTGATGATATCTTGATGGAAGACTCTAGAAAGGAAGAGATCAGTAAACTCAGGGAGACTTTTAATGGGGAATTTAAGATGAAATATCTTGGTGAAGTTAAGAGGATCATAGGGATGTATATCACGAAAAACCACAAAATATGTAAGTTGTTCTTAGCTCAATATGGTTACTTGAAGAAAGTGGTGGAGTGATTTAAAATACAAAATGCTAAAACTGTCAACACTCATTTGAATCATCACACAAATCTTTAGGTTATACAATATCCTCAAAGTGAAGAAGAAAATAAGACGAGGGAGAATACTCTCATGCAAGTGATGTTGAAAAAATCTTTTATGATATAATTTGTAGTAGACTAGACTTAGCATATGTAATTATTATAATAAGTCAATTTCTTAAAAATTATTTTCAACTTCATTAGGAAGTTTTGAAGTGGGTTATGAGGTACTTGAATATTTCATCAAATGATGGTTTGAATTATACAAAGACAACTCAAGAGGAAGACACTTTGAATGGTTTTATGGATGCAAACTATGCGAAAAATATGGACACTTAGGTTTTATGCTTACGATGTTTGGAATAACTATAAGTTAGAAGGCAAATCAAAAATCAGTGGTCACACTATCTATTATTACTCAAGAGGAAAATATTGCCTTTGTTGAATGGTTAAAAGGCATGATTGAGAAATCATGAATCACTCAAGAATGTGTAAAAATACATTGTGATAATCACAATTTTATTCACTTGACAAATTATCAAGTGCATAATGAGAGGACAAAGCGCATTGACATTCGTTTGCATTTCATAACGAGCATGATTGAATCAAAAGAGATTGTGGTCCAAAAGGTGGCTTTGGAAGATAATTCGAAAGATGTGTCTACCAAATTATTACCTAAATCAATATTTAAAGAGAACAACAAAGTGACTGATGGATAAATTGACATTACCATCGATTTTAAAGTCAAATTGAAGAATTGTGAAGATTGACTCAAGTAACCTTATGAATAAGTTTGCAAAAACGTAGTGTATTTGCATACACACATTGCGTTTGGCGAAGACGTAATCACTCTTTCTTTTGCAAGAAATGCAAGATACCTATAAAATGCATTTTCAACCATTCTAAGAATTTTCTATAAAATGCAATGTGTTTTGCAAGAATTTTCTATGAGAATGAAAATGAGTATTTTCTAGAGAGAAAAATTTAGAGAGATAAATGAAGGAATTATTAAGATTCACCATTTTAAGAATTGAAAGCTCTTTGAGATATTTAAGGGGATCGAGAAATACTTCTGAATAATAAATGAGAGATTGAGAAATATTTGAGTAGAAAGCATGCGATGTTCTTATAAGTATGAAAGATATTTTCTTGTAACTTATCTTGTAATATTGTGTAAAAAAGTTTGAGTTATAGTGAATCAAAAAGTTATTCTCTCTCTTAGTAGACAAGTTTGATTGAACCAGATAAATTAGTTTTATGTGTATTAGAATATCATTTGTTATTATTAGGATATCATTGTTATTAGTATTAGAATTATTAAAATATTATTAGTATATCATTGTATATGTTTTATTTTTATTTTCTTCTTATATATTCATGTGGATTTGCTTTGAGACAAATTAATTTTATTTGAAGTCTTTTAATTAGTTGTGATTATACTTTATCTCACATATTATTATTTATTATTATTCTGAGTGTTTGACCTTTGATTTTTAATTTCACACATATCAACAAAATAAATAAATTAGTTGTTTAAATAAACTAGGCTTGGTCAATTTTTAGAAAAATAGTTGATGTTATTATTCTAAATGATGGTATAATCCTATGTTATTTTGTTGTGACATTTTTTTAGAGCTATTTGTCTCCTTTTCAATAATGCCTTAAGATGGCAACTTCACATATTCTGTCACATATATGGCCACAGAAACATCAAAGAAGAAAAGAATGATACCAATAGTTCTCCCTTAAACATGCTCATTGTTCTTTGAAAATGTTCTTTCTCCCACTCTTGCACCTATGCATGGGTCCCAATTCATAATCTACAACATATAAATAGCTATGCATTAAACATCAACTTAGAGAAACAACCATATACACATCTTTAATTCCATGGCTTCTGCATCTGGCTTGAAGCGCACGGAATCGATAAAAGATAACATGTCATCAGACGAATCGAAGCAAAGTAGGTACCATATGAAGAGGTGCTTTGCCAAGTACCTTGAGAAAGGTAGAAGGATCATAAAAGTCCATGACTTGATGGAAGAAATGGAGCAAGTTCTAAATGACCAGAGAGATAAGAATCAAATATTGGAAGGCAATCTTGGCTTCTTATTAAGTTGTACACAGGTTAAGTTTTTCCTAATTAATTTACAAATGTGATACTCAGTTGATTTTTTAGATTTATTAAATAATCAAAGTATCTGATCCATGATACAGTCCTGATACAATGAATATAAAAAGTAAATTTTCTCTTATAAATAAGAGCGGAGGTAATATTTCATATGACAGAATGTGTAATAATGTTAACTGTGACACATTGCAGGAAGCTATTGTTGATCCACCATATGTTGCTTTTGCTGTAAGGCAAGATCCTGGTGTTTGGGAATATGTAAAAGTGAGCTCTGAGAATCTTTCAGTTGAACCTATAACGTCCACCGATTACCTCAAATTTAAGGAAAGAATATACGACGAAAAATGGTTTGCTACATCTCATTTCACTTATATTTTTATATTCTAAAGTTTTCAACATGTAACAAATTTTAATGGTTAACTTGGTTCTAAGTTGCAGGGCGAACAATGAAAACGCGTTGGAAGCAGATTTTGGGGCATTTGATTTTCCTATTTGATAGGAGGCCCATTAGAAACAGGAACCAGCCCAAGTGGATGAAAGATTTCTATAATTAATTATTTGAGTTACTTGTTTAATTTAAAATGTTGTCTCTATTCATGGGCTAGGCCCATTAGACTCATTAGAACAATTCAGTCCCCTTTGTATTTAAAAGACCACTTTGGCTACAACAAAGGGATATCAAATGAGAAAATCGCTATTTTATATTTTTATCTTCTCCCTTCACTCTCAAATTAGTAACCCTAGATCTTAGAAAATATATTGCTAGAAGCCTTCTTATCAAATTGGTGCTTTCATCTTTTGGATTCATGGCCCCCCAACCCAAACCACCAAACCCTAAAGATATTATTGATGAAGCTGTCCAAACAGCTCATACGCACCTTGATTTAGCTTTAAATCGAACCCAGCAGCAGATCGATGAAAGATTCGACAAAAGTTCTGCAGATATGGAGCTGCTACACACGCGAATGGACACTGAAAAACAGATTTCCGATTCACGTTATGACACCATGATGGCGCTGCTGCAAAAACTGATTGCTCAAAAAGAGCAACAGCAGCGGAACCCTCCATCCATCTCAACGCCTTCCTCTTCAGGTATCACACACATCCCCCCTAATTTTTCTCAAACTACCACGCCTCTCTCTTCCCCTCACGTACCACAAACCTCATCCCCCCTACTACACTCTGTCTCCATCCAACAACCCTCTCTATCAAGCAGCATTTTTCGTCCCACACCCCTACCCCCACCCAGATTTTTTCCCTCTCCCCCACCCATCCACAATACCTCTACTGCGTTACCGTTCCAACCGACCTATACAGCTCCTGTCTTTCACAATCTAAACTATTCTCCGCTCCACTCAACCACACCACTACCCCCGTTCAGAACCCCAAAACTGGAATTATCCATGTTTGATGGCTCAAACCCTTTGGAATGGTTATTCCAAGCAGATCAATTTTTTGATTTTTATCAACTCCCACATGAACATAGACTTGCTATGATCTCTTTTTACATGAAAGGCGAAGCTTTATGTTGGTTCAAGTGGATGTACCAAAGTCATCTATTAACCGATTGGAATGCTTTTACCAGAGCTTTGGAATTGCGTTTTGGACCATCCACCTATATTAACCATCAAGCAGAACTATTTAAGTTAACACAGACTGGGACAGTTGTGGAATACCAAGCTGCTTTTGAAAAATTAGGTACGCAGGTGATCGGCTTACCTCAGGACGCTATCCTGAATTGTTTCATTTCAGGGTTACGGTCTGAGATTCAGAACGAGATTGCTATTCTCAAACCAGTTTCTATCTCACAGGCGATTGGCCTTGCGAAGTTAATTGAATCAAAAATTAAAGATTCCAAACCTAAATACCACAAACCCTTTCCACCTCCATTACCAAAACCTACTACTGCCCCAACAATTCCAGTCAACAATACACCTCTACTTCAATCCCCAACAACACCCCAGCCAACCAAACTACCCATTCGACGTTTGTCCAACGCCCAACTTCAAGAGCGCAGAGCACAGGGTCTGTGTTTTAATTGCGATGAAAAATTCATCCCAGGCCATAAATGCTCCACGGGAAAATTTTTGCTCCTAATGGTAGACGACGAGGTTGTCTCGGATGCGGAGCCCAATACAATTCCTGAGCCCATTCCACCAACCCCAGACATTGACGACACATACTTTCAACTATCCCCACAAGCAGCAAATGGCCAGTTTTCCCCCAAAACTCTGAAATTTAAAGGCCACATTCATGGCCTTCCAGTGTCAGTTTTAATTGACACGGGCAGCACCCACAACATTCTCCAGCCGCGTATTGCCCACCATCTACGCTTAACCATCAACCCCATCCCCAACTTCTCTGTCATGGTTGGAAATGGCTCTAAACTATCATGCTCAGGACTATGCCCACACGTCCCTATCACCTTACAAAATCACCTTTTCACTATCCCGTTCCACTTAATACCCATTGAAGGCGCAGATGTCGTTTTGGGCATGGAATGGTTGCGTACACTTGGGCCGCTCCAAGCAGATTTTTCTATCCCAAAAATCTCTTTTGCACACCAAACAACTGAAATCACCATCACAGGGGACCCTAAATCCTCTCCCTTACACTCTTCTTACAACCATATCAGACATCTTCTCCAAACAGATTCTGTTGCTTCTATCCATCTACTTCTTTATCAACCACCACCGGAGTCCAATTCCCTCACACCTGCCTCTCCACTTAGTTCCTTACCAAAATCACTTCCCCAACAAATCTCCACTATAATTCACTCATTTGCAGCAATTTTCAACCAGCCTCACGGCCTTCCTCCCCCAAGGCCTCATGACCACCACATCCCAATTCTTCCCAACACCCCTCCTGTCAATGTGAAACCATACCGATATCCTCACTCTCAAAAAGATATCATGACTTCTATCATACAAGACATGCTACACGAAGGTATCATTAAACCTAGCAACAGCCCTTACTCCTCACCCGTTCTCCTAGTTCGCAAGAAAGACGGCTCATGGCGCTTTTGCGTCGACTATCGCGCTTTGAATGCAGTAACTATTAAAGACCGGTTTCCAATACCTACAATTGATGAACTCTTTGATGAGTTGGGTTCTGCCACTATATTTTCTAAGATCGATTTACGCTCGGGTTACCATCAGATACGGGTTAACCCAAATGACACTCACAAAACTGCTTTCCGTACGTTTGATGGTCACTATGAGTTTCTCGTCATGCCGTTTGGCTTGACAAACGCGCCAAGTTCATTTCAGTCGGCTATGAATGATTTGCTTCGCCCATATTTACGCCGGTTTGTTTTAGTGTTCTTTGATGATATTTTAATTTATAGTTCCAGTGTTTCTGATCATGCTATGCATTTAAAAATCATCTTAGAATTATTGTTGGCTAACCAATTTTACGCGAAGTTCTCCAAGTGTGTTTTCTCTGTTCCTAATGTTGATTATTTAGGCCATATTATCTCAAGGGATGGTGTCACCCCTGATCCAGCTAAAATCCAAGCTATTCTTGATTGGCCAACGCCACGTTCACTCACGGCTCTCAGAGGATTCTTGGGCCTCACCGGTTTTTATCGTCGATTTGTTCGTCATTACGCCACTCTCGCCGCTCCGCTCACTGATTTGTTACGTTCCACTAAGTTACAATGGAGTACAGTCGCGGATTCCGCGTTTACAAAACTAAAACAACACTTGACTACAACTCCTATCCTAAGCCTTCCAAATTTTTCTCAACTCTTCATCCTGGAGACTGATGCGTCAGCAGTTGCTGTTGGTGCTGTTCTTTCTCAGCAGGGTCACCCTTTGGCCTTTTTCAGTAAGAAGATGTGCAATCGGCTTCAGGCTTCCTCCGTCTATGTCCGCGAAATGTATGCCATCACCGAAGCTGTGAAGAAATGGCGCCAATACTTGATCGGTCGACACTTCCATATTTACACTGATCAAAAAAGTTTGAAGAATTTGTTAGTTCAGACTATTCAGACACCTGAACAACAAAAGTGGGCAGCAAAATTACAAGGCTTTGATTTTGACATTTTTTACAAACCTGGCAAATCTAACCAGGTCGCTGATGCCTTAAGCCGCATTCACTCTGATGAAACCGCCATGTTCTTCTCAATCTCTTCCCCCGTCCTTCAACTGATAGGCTACCTCAGACAATATTATACAAAACAACCTGAAGGACAAAAACTTGTCACACATCTCTTAGCCGCAAATGATAATCAGGTTCTCTTTCACTTCAAGGACAACTTGTTGTTTTATAAAGATAAGATTTTTATACCTGCTGTTGAAGATTTGAGACACAAAATCCTAAACGAATATCACTCAACACCCATCGCCGGCCATTCTGGACTTCAACCTACCCTTGCTAGGGTCTCTAGTGCTTTTCTTTGGCCAGGTATCTACAAGGACACAAAGGAATTTGTCAAAACCTGTGCAATCTGTCAAAAGAATAAATATAACACTCAGAAGAAACAAGGACTACTGCAACCCTTACCAATTCCGCACCAGGTCTGGGAAGACTTAACAATGGACTTCATTACTCACTTGCCAGTTTCCTTTGGCCATACTGTAATCTGGGTGATTTGCGACCGTCTGAGCAAGTTCTGTCATTTCATTGGACTCCCTACAAAGTTCACTGCAAAAGACTTAGCTCTTAGGTTCTCAGTTGAGATTTGCCGTCTTCATGGATTACCACGCACTATCATTTCGGATCGCGACCCCCTCTTTCTTAGCAACTTTTGGAAGGAACTGTTCAAAGCGCAAGGCACCACATTGAAATACAGTACTGCATACCACCCTGAAACGGACGGACAAACAGAGGTAGTCAACAGATGTTTGGAAACCTATCTACGTTGTTTTGCTAGTGAACAACCAAAGAAATGGTTTCATTACTTACATTTGGCAGAACTATGGCACAACACAGCGTTTCACAGCTCCATCAAGATGTCTCCTTTCGAAGCTCTCTATGGCCGGCCTCCACCTCCTTTTCCCCACTACGACCCAGGATCTTCTTCAATGGTTTCGGTGGACTCCTCCTTGCAAAATAGAGAAGAAATCATTACTATTTTGAAACGAAATCTACAGAAGAGTAGATCGGACATGCAAACTCAAAGCAACAAGAAACGTCAGAGCGTTACCTTTGCAGAAGGAGAGTGGGTCCTCCTTCGCCTTCAACCATACCGACAGAACTCTGTGCAGCAACGCGCCTCTGTTAAACTTTCTCAACGATTCTTCGGACCCTTCAAGGTTCTTCACCGTATCGGAAGTGTTGCCTACCACTTGGACCTTCCAGACACATCTCGCATCCACCCCGTCTTCCATGTATCCCAACTTCGTCCGTTCCATGGCAGAAATCCCAACTTACAGCTTCATCCACTTCCTGTTGACGACGACACCTCCAGAGACCCAGATCTGCCACATGCATCATCGTCTGAAACACCTCCTGTTGACAACCAACGCTCCACCGAATCAGAAACCTCTTCAC